TAATCTAAGAGGTTTGATATACTTCTTACACTCAGATTTAAGACTAACTTTATGACCATTTTGCCCTCCCTCATTATGCTTAACATTCAACTTGAAATTTTGGCAGGTTAGTTAGGGGGCAACTTCTGTGTCATTTCATAATTACTACTTCCCCAAATTATAGGGATGCTGATGGATTGGATTTGTTTTATTTTTTGAGGAAATCTTAATTGGAAAGGCTGTTTTTGAAACTTGTAATATATAAAACTTCCAAAAGGAGCAACTTTGCCTGTAAATTTCATTTAATTCTGCTAAGAAATTAAAACAACAACAAAATGGCAATTTCCTTTTTTAAAAAGCAAAATTTAAAGATACGTAGAACAAAGCCTCCTGATTTTGTTTGTCTGAAATGAACTGAGGGACATTTTGTGCCCTCAGTAGTGATTGCACTATTTCAAAAGGGGTAGATATAGATTTGGAATTATGAGCCAAGATTTGGATTTGGAGGGGGGGCTGGGATGTGCTCTGAGATGATATTCTAAATTACCAAATTGGGGTCCTGCTCAGAATTTAATGTCAGTGCATACATAGGGAATTCCTTAATATAGATTAAATTTCCCTTTTATTGTAGGCTTCACATACTATGAAAAGAGTCAGACCTTCCTCCAGACTGGAAAGAGTTCATCCAAAGAACAGTAATCCAAGATCTCTGATTAATAGTCTTTTTAGAAGGAAGGTCACAATGATAACACAATACTGTAATTCCCATGAGTGTTCCACCTCCAGATGAAACACCTCTGTATAAGCAATGTGGTGGCAAAATTATTTGTCTTCTTTCACTCTTATTTTGCAGGGGATTGAACTGAACAATGGGGCAGTTTCCATCTGTTCACTGTTTTGGTAACTGTTAGTTATCCTTTCTGCAAGAAATAACTCAAGAAAGGCCCTCAGTTTTCTTGTGTGGGATGGAAAGGAGCTATGAAAGATGCTGGAGGAAGGTGTACTTAGGTGATTTAACTTGACACTTACATAGTATAGCAATCCACACTCCCATGGGCTTTTGAGAATCTTGTTGCAAGATTTCAGAAACTCCTCCAGTCAAGAGTGGCAAAGTACTTCAAATTCCTGTTAGATATTTGAGAGTAAGCATGAAATATTCTGCTGTCAGAGCAGTTGAAATGTTAAAATGTAAGGTAATTGCACTTCATATTTTTTCACGTCAAGATAAAAATATTTTCAGGAAGATCTCAGCAGGAGAATAAACCAATACAAATTAGTCTTTGTGTCAGTGTGCTAATCTACATAATTTGGAGGACTCTAAGGCTTTGTTAGTTGGAATCCAGCTTTCAAAAAATGCTTTATGTTTCCTTGTATGAAGCCTACATGGAATCCCTGAGGATTTTTAATGCTGTACTTCAAACATTGGCTTCTGTTGGCTGAATTGTTCTGTTTTTTCTTTAAGGTTATTGCCAAAGAATTCTATCCTGTTCCTTTTGAGGGAATAAGCCCCCCCCCCCCCCATGTCAGACTGCAGGTCACATTCAAATAATTTCCTGCACATATAAAATTAGCATGTTAGGGATATCTCTGTCACTCCAGAACAGAAGGATTTCCAGTGCATTTCTGTTATTTACAAACAATATATCAGGACATAATTTGGGGACAGGGCTACACTTTTTCTGAGCAACTGACAGATGGAGGAGGCTTTGTCTACATTTGCTGAATTTCCATCTTTGCAAAATCTTGCTGTTTTGCTCCCAAACTGGCTGATTTTAGAATCTAGTTGTGCTAGTCCTATTTGAAATGATCTGTGGATTTTGCAGGTAAGGAAAGAATTGAGCCCTCCATCTTCCCTGTAGGTCTTGCTTCCCCAAATTTGCCTTAGGAGAAGAACGTAAGTTTGAAAGTCCTAAGTAATTTTCCAAATGTCTACTCTCATACTTAGATAAATTCTTTCTTTCCATTCTTTATGCAGTTTATTTTGAATTCAGATTGGATTTGTGCCCAAATAATTCATAGCAGATAAAGGGAATGAGATAAAATAATAGGTCTTGATTCAAAGTATTCAAATGATTCCCTTTTATGCTTATGTAAATGGTTGATTTTAGGAGGTTAAGTAACTGCAATTATGGCTTAACGTTAGAAAATAATTGTGTGTTTGATGTTTCCATTTATGAAAACTGTGCCGCTAGTAATGAGAATATTCTTGTGTCAAAACTCACTTTTCAATATATCAGCTTTACACTCTGAATACAAATTAGTTCTTGGTTTACCAGTTATTTTTGATCAGTGAGTTTGAATTAAAAAAAATGAAATGTCAAAGTCTGCCTGAAAAAATGGCTTTTTGTGATATAAATAATAAAGAATTGCAGATATCCTTTTTCTTGCCTACCTTGGGTATTTCACATCTTAGATTCTTTCTGCAATCTTTAGAATAGAGTCTCCATGTAACAGCCAGTCATGAATTATCAGTTTGAGGAAACTTTAGAGTTTGCAGAAGTACAGACGAAATTATTATCAAGGGGTATGTCCCCTCCCAAATGCCCTTCTAGCTCAGTTTACTCAACATGCTAAACCTTAAAACCAGGTTAGCCAAAAGAATTGCTGTGTTCACATAACATGCTATGCCTCAACAGATAAACCATATTATAACTTAATGTGATGGCCATGTTGACCCATCATGCAGTGGGTGGTTTTCTACAACATTTTGTCTTAGTTAACATGTGATATAAATTCAGTCACTGAGTACTGAGTATTCACATTGGGATTGAATACTGATTGACTGTTGAGGGGAGAATCAGAAAACTAGGAGGAATGAAAAGACGAATAAAAGAAGAAATAGTTATATGTAAAAAAGGAAGAAATAGCCCCTAATTTTGTGCAGGGATAATGGCATTTCTTTATATATCATTGCATTGAAAGTAGTCCTTAAATATACAGGAAAAAATGGCACGGGATGATAGATCTAAATTGGAGCAGGATTAGTCTTTAATCCTAATATTCGAGACTATGTTAATTTCAGGTAATGGATCTTCCTTGGGTATTTTAGAGTTGTTTTACCTCAATTTACAGCATTTTAACAGTTCTTAAAAACTATTACTTATTAATATGTAGTATTTTGGATAAACTGCAGTATGTAATTATGCAGCTACATTACTATTATATAAAATACTATATACTTTAAAAGAAACAAACCCTATTATATAATAAAATATATGGTTAAAAAAAGAACAAAACCCTACCCTAAACTACCTAAGGAAAAAAATGAGGGAAAAAAGAAAAAAACTGATTTAATTGTTATTTGAAAAAATCCTCAGAAACAAAACACACACTTTATTTATATGTATGGTGTATATACACACACACATGCAAAAAAGGAAGAAAAACATCCCCAAAATGGAAAAAATATTAAAAAATATTCAAATATGGAAATGAAGATAATTTTCTTCAATTTCACTGTTACAGTTCAATTTTTAAAAAACAAATTATACCTAGTCCATAGAGAAGGCTATTACGTAGTCTTGTGTCTCCTTGATACAAGGCTTGTCCGGTATACTTCACACCATTTTGTCATGAAGCTTTGTATTTCTGAATTCCAGTTGGAAAAGACAGCCTTTAGAGTTATTGCTTGACTCAATTGCTCAACCGAAAAAGACTGAAGAGGATAAATTTCCCCCCTGTGTATTATTGGAATGCAGATAATAGAGACAGACTGTCCATTGACTTGATTTACATCTTTTTTAGTGATAAATGTTCCACCAGTGTGGAATGACGAGATGATCAGCTACCTAAATTGATTAAACAAACAAATAAATAAAGCAAATAATACATACGCAAATACTTTGAAGTTATCAATTGATTGCTAAGAACACCTTTCCATGTGCGTCATTTTGACCCAGAAGATCTTGTTCCATGCATCTGAAAGATGTTTGGAGTTCTGTGATATCCTAGGAATCCACACACATGTATATAATTACACACTCACAAATTTTAAAAAAAATGCATACAAATATGACTTTTGATAATTTGATCTTAATGTAAAACCAGTATTTTGGAGATGGCTTAAAAACTGGGCAGAGAATCTTGCTTATAATTACTGTACATTGTATTTTTGAAGCTGGGAAAAGAATTAGAGGTTCTCTATTGCAATAAAGTGCCTGGGGTCAAAAATAAATAGTTTGATGGTAATGCAAATGTAACTCAGTTATTAAACTGATCAAAGTAAATTTAGTACAGTATATTCATAGGATTTACATTAAAGGATGTAACCACAATGGAATAATTATGATTTTCATTCCAAAAGATTTTTTTAAAAATTCTATTTATATTCCTAAAATGGATTTTTATTCCAGAAATATTGTTGGTTGATTTCTATTGGATGACTTCAAATTTTTTTCTTAAGTTTCTAAACTGCTGGTGAGAAATCCCATACCACCAGCCCATTGCAAATAAAGCAATTAAATGGATGCATCCTTAATTTTGGTACCAAATAAGCTTTTTAAAATTATGCAGTTTAAAATGCTTGTGCTAGTCTCTCTGAAAAAGTGGTAAGTAACAAAGGGATGGGTATCTCTGTCAGCCCTTTGAATTTTTAAAAAACTTCCTTCTTTTATAGCTGTGAAGCCAGCAGTTCAGAATCCACTGGAGACAGTCAGGGTAGGGAATGCTGTGCTAAATGACTGTGCTCTGTACTCATGTCCTCAAAGATTAGCAGCTAACAACCAGCAATTGTAAAATCAGAAAGATATTTTGACAATGAGGATCTGTGCCCTTGAAGAAAGCAGTCCTGCAGTGTGTTTTTTTTAAAGTACAGTACCATTGTGTTATGTATAACTGCCTCGCATTAATTCTGTTTTATTTATTTATTTTGGAGGACAGTGTGGTGCTGTGATTTAACAGTACAATGCAAGCATCTGAGATCTTTCAAGGGATAGCAGAATAAAAAATTCTGCTTTTCCCTAGGAGTTTGCTCTATTCATATAAATAAAAATTAACATTTTTTGTTTTTGTTTTTTACCCAGGGCTTCTTATTGGAATCCTGATGGTTCTTTTGTATCGGTACCTGGGGTTGGCTCTTCCCCAGATCAGCAGTGCGACAAATAAACGATATTTCAGGTATTTATTTTATTATATTTATGTTTTGTCTTTTCTCCAAGGTGCTCGTGGCAATTTATGTGTGGTTACCCTTCATTTTATTCTCATTATCCTGTGAAGTAGATTAGATTGAGAGAAAGTGATTGGCTCACTCTGTGGGTGAGTGAGGACTGGAACCTGCCTCTTCTTACAAAGACTCTTCTCCAGGCACTTAACCCCATATTCAGGAGCTTGGTTAAAGCAGAAGCTTTCAGGCACCACATGGCTAGATTAACTGCTTAGTGGCACTCCAGAATGAAGGCACATTTGCACAGGAAAACTGCTTGCTGTAGTACAGAGAAAGCAACATTATCCATCCATGCATCCATCCACCCACCCACCCAGGCTTAAATTCTCTCCCCAGCCTTGAAATTGAGATGCACCCCTTAGTGTTTATAATGCTTCTCTGGTTTCGGAACTGCTGATTCCACCCTCGCTAGCTTGATTCCCTACACAGTTACTCTCATGCATGCTTTATATAATGCTCTCTCCCCATCTTAAATATATTCTAGTATGATAAAATAGTTTTAAAGTACCCCATGTCCCAGCCACCCACACCTTTTCATAGTGCTTGAGAATACGTATTAGAAGCAGTTCTGCAAAACACCATCTTGGGTGGTGGAGACTACAGGGCGGTAGAGGCAGTTCCCTGGTCATTTGGACCCAGCTCTGGGTGTGACATGGCCTTCCATTCTCACTTCCCCAAAAGCTGCCCCCCTTTTTACAGTTACTAATTTCTGTTGCCATTGAAAAATAATATTCAGTAGTACTTTATTCAGGTTCTGCACGTTGCATGGGGCCCTATTTTATGTCTTTCTTGTAAGGCTTTTTTTTCATTGTGGCCGTTTTCCAGCTTTTCCTTCAGAGCTAGGAGAGGCAACTGTTATGACTTGTAGAAGAAACACAGCAGCAGCCTTAAAGAGGTGTTGTGGGTCAGGTAGTCACTTGGAGGCAATTGTTGCCCACACAACTAGATTGTACGTGTGTGTGTGTGTGTGTTGACTTGGTAAGTAGCTTTTCCATAAAATAGGGGAACAAATCACCTGCATTAGTGGCTGGACTAGTAAAAAGAAAAAGAAAGAAAGGCAAATTTATGGAAATGTGTCAGGATATATATTTCTGGTTGATTATCAAGTATCTATTTCTGTAATAAACTCATTGATGAGAAGAGTGACTAGAGTATCTTCAGATTTTCTATCCCCAGCAAGTGCTAGAGCCCAGAACAGTTTTCAATATTACAAACATGATCAAATGTTATGAGGGAAACATTTATTTTAAATAATAACACCAAGGAAAGCCTTCTGTGCAGCCTTATAGAACACATCTGCTTTTTGGAGTAGACAGTATTTTAATTTCTTTTATCAGTGATCCAATTCAGTAAGTCAGCTTTGTGTTCCAAAAACCATTAGACTCAGATAGGTAAAGATATGTACCCTTCCCCCTTTGTCATTACATTGCTCCTCTACAAGTGTGTGGGAAATATTTCTGCAAAATACTTGATGTTGAAGAGGGAACAAAGACCCTTGACATTTGTGATTTGTCCATGAATACTTGGTGGAGAGAAAGAAGGCCTGAGAGAAAGGCTGGCTGTTCCTCAACTTTTGGAGTGATCCTTGTAAACTAAAAGCAGAAATGGCCTTGAAGGCCCTGAGGCCAGCTAAGTGTCTTCTGCACAGATGAGTACTTTCCAAGATGCAGTTCATAACAAATGTGTTCTCTAGAACCAATAACTCACCTAGAGTGTTCTTCAGAAATGAGAATACAAAAATATTTAAACTTATGTGGCTTCGTATTGCTATTTTGCCTATTTGCCCTCTCCATATTCAAAGCCAGATTCAGAACACCAAAAGGTTCCATACTGCTTGGGATCTCACATCACACTAAGTTATAAAATGGTTTGCTTGATTTTGGCTTAGTGGGAACTGTGAACCCAGGAGTTATGGCTTGTCAGACATGTTGTATAATCTTAGTGTGAATCAGGCTATTAGGGCTTGTTCAACAAACTGTGACTTAGACTATGCCATTATGTTATGGGAAACCCAACACTGACCATTGGTCCTTCTAGCTCAGTATGGTCTGTACCAACTGACCTGAACCTAGCTTCTCCAGACTGCAATTTTTAGAATATCTAGCCAGCATGGTCCTTGGCCATGAAGAAGAAAAAGTCTAGTGGGGACAAAGTTTGGTATAGATATACAATAGAAATAGAGACTTCCAGGGAACCTTGGGAGTGTAGCTGGAGACAAAGTGGGAAGATTCATAATGGTTGACAAACTTTCCTGGAAGTTTAGTTTTGCATTCTTTTTCAGTAGTGTACAATCACAATGAAACATCCTGCGACATATAATCAATGGGGTTGTGCAGTACCTTGGATCAGCTGGAAAAAGTTACATATACAGAGCAGCTGTTGGCAATTCATGAAACCAAATGCCTCTTTTCCTGGGATCACACTGCAGCAACAGAGAGCAGCCACACAGTCCCAGAGGAAAGACTCAGCTTTTTTGAGGAGTTGCTGACTGGGGCTTCATTAGTGCCCCTGTGGGCTTGGAAGCAGCTGTTGCCCTTTGGATCCATCTTCATGCACAGAACTAGGTTAAAGAGTCCTCATGTAGCAAACACCTGAAACACATGAAAAAAATAGAACAAATAGATTTAAAATAGTGAGTGGTTATTCTAAAGCAGTGTTCCCCAACCTTGGCAACTTTAAGATGTGTGGACTTCAACTCCCAGAATTCCCCAGCCAGCCATGGGATTGGGAAACACTGTTCTAAAATCTATTAGGATTAAAATGTGTGTGTCTTGTATAGCTGTAGTTCTTTTTAAAAAAATAATAATAATGATTGAAAAGATATGAAGTGTTGTCCTCCCCTCCTTCTTGCTCTCACAATGCCAGGGCCAACCTGACCAATACCAGAATTTGCATGGGAGTGGGGAATGTTTAGAACAGTGTTTCTCAGCCTTGGGAACTTTAAGATGTGTCTCCATGGCTGGCTGAAGAATTCTGGGAGTTGAAGTCCACACATCTTAAAGTTGCCAAGGTTGGGAAACACTGTTCTAAAGTCTATTAGGATTAAAATGTCTGTGTCTTGTATGGCTGTAATTCTTTTAAAAAATCAAGTGACTTATTTTATAAAGGAAGTGTGCCATACATAAATTGATTTTAAGAGGCAGAACACTGAAGTCATTTGTTAAAACTCTAATGCTAGCAAAGAGGGTGGTGGAGGTGGGGGTGGCGGAGGACAAGCCAGAAAAGTTTGCCAGATAAAGATTTAATCAGCATTATCAGCAAATCAAGCTTCATAATGGGATGGGTGCTTTCTCTCTCTGTCACTCTCACTCCCCACAGAGATGCGTATGCATTGCTAAAGAGGTATCATGCTTCTTTAATAACTTTTTATATGTTTACTTTCAGCCCCTCATTGTCTATATTGCTGGTTTAACTTTCTGGCACAGTACTGTTTTCATCCTGAAGGAAGTCACTGTAATGCAGGTTTCCCCCAATTATATTGAGTGACAACCTCCAGATTTTCCAAGAAGCATGGCCAACATCTGGAGGGCACAAGGTTGGGGAGAGAGAGAGTCCTGTACTTTAGATCCTGAAGTGAGCTTGCTTCACTTAGTGTCCCCAGGAGATCTGCCTGTATTTAGACTTCTCTCTTCTCTTTTATTAGCCTCAGCAGTGTGTGCAGTTACATCCAGAAGATGACTCGTGTGCGAGTGGTTGATAACAGCACCTTGGGAAACACACCATATCGCCGACCTCCAAAATGTATCCACGTCTACACTAAAAATGGTGTGGGCAAAGTGGGTGACCAAATCCTTCTGGCTATCAAAGGGGAAAAGAAAAAGGCATTAATTGTCGGGTGCAAGTTTCCTGGGCCTCGCATGACTCCTCGGTTTGATTCTAACAACGTGGTGCTCATTGAAGATAATGGGAACCCAGTTGGAACACGAATCAAAGTTCCCGTGCCTTCTCTGCTGAGGAAGAAAAAAGAATTCTCCAAAGTGTTGGCCATTGCCTCCAACTTTCTCTGACAAGCAAGGGGCGTTGTGTGACAAGCAAAGGGACGTTGTGGGACAGGCTCTTGAGCTGCATTTCTCTTTTCCTTCCCAGAATTGAGGAAGAAGAATTTGAAAAAAGTGGGATGTGTGTGTGTGAAGGCTTTGTATCTGTATAGAAATTAAAAACTTTTTCCTAAGACATCTTTGGGGAAAGACGCTTTCCATTCTTTTTTCTAGCTTAATTAAAGATAGAGGGTTAATAACTTTTGTTTTGATTGATTTATGCTTTTGAAAGAGGTAGTACAGGAGAAAGCAAAGGACTGGAAATGTGAGAGGACCATTCAAAGGGTCAACAGATTTGGGCAGCTGTTGTTCTCTATTAATCTCCAGTCATTTTTGTGGGTTTTTTCTTTCGCAGTTTTATTCTGTTAAAACATTCTATATTTGCATTGTCCACATTCCAACCAGGAATAACTTTTAAAATAAATTCCAGCATTGTTTTGTGTTATTGATAAAGACAAATAAAAAGGAACTAGCACATAAAAGAATGTCATAAACGATATTACTATTCCTGTTTCTCTCTCTTCCTGGCTTTCTTAGAAAATACCTTACTTTACTCTTATTATGAGGTTCCTCACTATGATATTTTTTTCTGTCATGTTATAATTTCTTCCTTTGCATTTTTAATATTTGTCTTCCCTCTTTGTTTTACAGATATTTTCTATGTTCTGAACTAAATATCCATGATTTGGAATTTCACTAACAGATGTGGAGAATACAGGTCACCTATTTATCAATGGGTTAAACATTATTTGCTTTTTTCAGTGTTGGGAATAATGTATTTTTAATTTATTTGTAAGATTTCTATCTTACCTTTCCTCCAGGAGCTCATGGTAGCAAACATAGCATGTCCTCCTCCCATTTCCCCCCACAACAACAGTCTTGTGAGATAGGTTGGGCGGAGAGTGAGCGTGTCACTTGAAATCCCTCAGTGAATTGCTATGGCTGAGGGGGGAACTGAAGCTGGCTCTCCCAGATACAAGTGCAGGGCTTTTACCCCAACACCACCCTGTCATTTATGGGTGGCAGTTTAAATAAATACAGTGTAAGAAAGAGCATGTTGTGTGCATTGCAGTGTTGCTTCCCCCAGACTGGTGCTCTACAGATATGTTGTGCTGCTACCCTATGATAACCATTATGCAGGGTGCTGGTTTGGGGTGATGGGAATTGTAGTCCACTTGGGAGGTGCTGGATTGCAGAAGGCTTCTGTGATGCCATTTCAAAATTAAATCCTGGTACCGTGTCAATCTTTCTGGCCTTCATAAGTTATGAGACCTTAGGATATTCAGGTTCCCCATCTTCCATCAGGGTGGTTTCCTGTTGCTCAGTCCTGTGTCTTTCTGTGCAGTCCTTGACAAATAAACCCCAGTTCTGTATTGATAATTCTGTATTGGCCCTGGATAAATTAGGGACAGTGAATAAATCCAAGTACAGTATACAGATCTCGTGAGTGAGAATGTTGTCTCTGTGTTGTTGATGAATGACTTCTAGGAGATACCGCTGTGCAAAGCCTTGATTCCGCATTCTGTTTTACTTTGATGCAGAAAGTACAGTATAGACAAAATAATCACGGCAAATAATCTGGATTCCCACAGCATGGAAGTGTACTTAATGCTTTGCCATTCTGCCTGCTGACTGCCGTTCCTATATCAAGTATACTTTCTTAAGAAAGCTTTGAAATAGTGAACATTTAAATCCTTGGTTGTTCCCCAGTAATATTCAGGCTCTGTGTAGCTCCTCCAAAGGATGTAAGGTCTGAAATGGTAGAAAAAATGTAAGGTAGTGGGAAAAATATGTAGGAGGTGCAGTATTTAGCATTTTAAAAGCAAAGTTAACATGTAAGAAATGAGAGTGAAAATCCTTAGTTGGTTTAGTCTGTGGGGAGCATTGAGGTTTTTTTTTTCTCATTGTGCCATCTTGTGGCAATCCTTGTGCATGTGCTGCTGGCTTGATTTCAGGGATTTTATTTGTTGAGAAAAGTTCCTCAGTATTGAATATATGTAAAGTGTTTTTATTCCCCTCTATTAACAGTGAATACTTAAACAAGCAATTGTCTGAAAGGAACAAGGACAAAAATCACAGAGTTCCCTTTTACTTAGGTGATCAAATTGGTACCATTGCTGGTGGCTGTTGTATTTGCTCCAGTAAAGTTAATTGTCTCTTTTCAAGTCAGTTGCAATAGTTCTCTGGAATTATTACATATCTTAAACATATTGTAAAGGAATATAGAGCAGACCTTGGGGAAGATATGAATGAGCCATTTAGGAAGGATTTATAAAAAAGATTGCACAGCTCAGAGTTTGAAGGAAGCCTGAGAAAGAAAGTCAAAATAATCCCTCCCTGGGTTCCTATACTGTAGTCTCAGAAGGGACAAAGGGAAACTTGGACAGGCTTTCAAGATACTGTTATTACACCCCATAACAATAGCATCCCTGGAATCTCTATGGTGTCTGTTTCTTGACCTGGCCTACCTTAAAGGGCTGACTTCAATTTTGAAACTCATGTATGTTCACTGCTCCTCTTACTAGTACATGCCTTCCAGTTATAAGCTGTACTATGCAAAGAGATTGTACAACTGTGCTCAGAATCTAATTATGGGATGGAAGCTGGGCCATGTGCTATAAACTGCAGTACAATAGACTGCAGAGGAGAAATCTGCCTACCTCCAGGTTTGATTGTTAATGTTTTAGTAACTACTAAATATCTTGATTCTCTCTGTCTCTTGTCAGTGAATTGTATAATTCTGATTTAAGCTGCAGCTTTCATGTTCAAGCTTTGGCTGGTTCATTTTCTGCTGATTCAGAGCAGAAATTTATGTTAAAATACATAGTTTAGCTCAACGTTACCTCTAAGCTGAAAATCTTTTAGCCCAAAAGATTCTGAATTCTGCTGCCCTTTAAAAAATGCCTGTAAAACCAATAGCTCCAGCTGAAGCTGGAGTTCTTCACCCAGTGACTTGGTAGTCAGTTCCACTGAACTTGGCAGTGCTTCTTTCTGAGGAGATGTACATGGGATTTTGCAATTTAATTTAGGGATATCACAATGTATTGTGTCTAGGTAAACATCAGGGCTACTGTTCTAAAGGTGAAAGACTGACAAGAAGGACTCCTGGTGAATTGTATCCATGCAATTTTCTTGATAGTGTTATGCATGTGGCTTGTCTTTGCCTTGTTTTGGGATTTTATTCTGGGATTTTCCAAGTCTAACCAACAATGCTAGAATTCCCAGGTGGTTCCTCATCCCCTGACCAGGGCTGAACTTGTTTAGCTTCTGAGATCAGCCAAGGATGACTCAGTGGCTCCAGTTGTTGAGGCATACCATCATGTAGTGTCTGTGCTCATTCATAAGGAACTTTGACTTCTCATTCCCTCCTTGTTTTAAAAGATATATATAAAAATACCGAATCATCATTAAAAAGCATGGTTATACATGAGTTTTTCATTTTTCTCCATGTCAGTTCTTTGAAAATTCTTTACCTTGAATAAGCCTTATTAAAGTCAGCAAGCTTTACTTTTGAGTAAAGAGTCCCTGGGCTGCATTTTGGATTCTCTGTATTATGAACATGCAACTCCACAAAACTTGCAGACTTGACAAGAATTGGATGTGAAATACTGATCTATTTTATGGTAGGAAAATTGTGGAATTAAACTGTAACCTATACTGATTGAGGGAAATTTTACAGATCATAAATTATCCTTTGGAATCAGTGTATATATTGAGTGTGTCGGTACACAGCATGTACCTTCTAGTTAGTGAGATGTGGGTAACAGTATGTTGGCTTGCAAGACAATCTTTACAGTAAAGATTCTGACTTGCATAGAATAGCTGGATGATGGTTAGAATAAGACAGCTTTGGTTGTGCTTGTGGCATGCTGGCTGAATTGGGCCAAAATTAACAGGTACTCTCCTTAGTGTTAACAGGGAATGCTTCACATGGCAAGGATACAAATAAAGCAGGTAACCTTGTATACTTTATCTTACTAAAAAATGTTATGTTAAAGCCTGGACTTACCAAAGCCATGATGGTAGTGGAATCCGCTCTTTGCAATCATGGCATAGGAAACTTTGCAATTTGAAATGTAACAGAGTAAATGGTAAAGAGTGAATTGACAAACGAAAGAATGTATAAGTTGTGTGTTTCCCCACAAAGGGGAAAGGTGTAACGGATTTGAATGGTGATTTCATCTTGTGGAGTGGAGTTGATGATATATCCAGGAAAGTGAAGGTATAGGTTTTATTATGAAGGAAAGAGCTAATACGTGTGTCAGAAAGTTTGAACTTGGTGTCATCTAAATTGCTGTGGGTGTGTTTGAAAATAGGGATCCACAGGTTGGTGATAGCAGCTTGTTACATTCCAGTGAATGATAATAATCACAGTGAGCATATTTTCTTAGAAAAAGTAAAGGATAGGCTTGAAAAAGGGGCAAATCTGAAAGAGGTTCATAAGGATTAAAAAATTGTTTAGATTTATAACTTTGCTTTACAAAGGAAAATTCAAGAGCAAACCCAAGAAAATAATTAAATTAAATAAATCTAAAGGACAGCTGTCTGAAATAAAGGACTGTCTTTTATAATAAGGATATATGGTCACTGTAGCAATAATGGAAGCACCAGGTATGAGTTTGGGGAAAAACTACAACATTTGGAATAAATGTAGAGAAAATGGTATTCTGTCAGGTGACATGAGTGGGTGGGTGGAACAAGACAAAAGAGTACAGAAAAGATAATTGGGCCATTTGGTGACCCAAGGATGAATGAGAAGGGTGCCTAGCAAGCATCTGCTTAGGGACAGCTCTGTTTATTTGGAGTGCATGGTTTATGCATAAGTCTGTGGGTGCGTATGCAGGGCAAAGGAATGAATCTAAAAGCATGATTGAGTTGGCTGGTTGTGATGAAAGATTGAGAGAATTAATGAACTTCTGAATGTGGGACAGACCTTTATTTTGTAGTGTCAAGAATGGATCTTGGGGGAAAATTAGACCTAGAAAGAGAACAGAAGTGGAAGAAATTGCAGTGGAAATAGAATAGCTGCAGGAAGAGAAAGTCCTCTTAGAAGATAGATTAGTCCCCTAACTGAATGAATTGAAAGTAGATGTAAGGAAAGATGATGTAGAAGCTACTTGGTATTAAGTGAAAGTAATTATGTTACAGAGTGTGGAGTTACTTTAATGGGAAATATGAACAAGCTAAGGAAAGCTTGCAGAACATGGCTAACTGGCTTAGAAAAAATTCTAGAAGCTGTGCTCTACAAGCTTTCCTAATTGCATCTGTGACATGAATCTGCTCTCCCCTCATGTAGCATCTGCGTGGGCTTCTGTATATGTGTGTACTGGGAGCATGGGACAAATTGCATAAATGCTGTTCTGAGTGATGTGACCAGGAAGAAGGGGACTTAGAAGAGCGCAGTGGTGAACATGTGAAATTACTGCCCATCTGCCTTTCCCATAAAGACACACTAGGGATTTTTTTTTCAGGATGTTTTTCTCCACAGTCCTTGGCTGGATTCTGCCCAGTTTTGATCTTGATCTTTTGGAGAGTTACTTGCTGATGGACAGAGTCCAAAGCCCCTATTCATAAATTCTTTCTGCCATTCTGTTAGTATACCCCCACCCCCACCAACAAAAACAACTTGAAAGCATCTTTTTCTCTTTGCATCTGATGTTTTGGACAGTTGTAGTGAGAAATGAGTATTTGTCAAAAGCATGGCTGAGTTTTGCCCCTTTTGTTATGTGGAAGAGACAGTGGGGATGTCAAGGGAAACTAAAAAAAGTTGACTGCAATGAGACTGTGGTACTTAAGAAGTGGGTGTGGTGATGATGATGATGATGATGATGATGATGATGATGA